TGGCCTTTATTGTAACGACAACAAATATAATCATATTTTATAATTGTCAGAACGTGAAGAGGAGAAATTATTGAAAAGAGCATATTCTTCGTTCAGATTTACTTTTAATTTATTTATGTTGTCGGTTATTATAATTGAAAGGGGAAAAGAAAATCTCACTTACAACAGGATTCGAACCAGAGGCTTTCGAACCACTACTACTAGTTGAGTTGTCTACCACTTCAGCTATACGAGATTCAACCAGATCATCGTTTCACTACAATCTTCATTCAAGTATTGGTTTATGGGGATTTGGTTGATTGGTTACAGGATTTCATCATGAGCTGACAACAGTTGGAGAATCACTGGAAAACCTGGAAGTACTGGTCAGCTGTTTCTTCCTAGTTTGGTAATCATCGGCAATACGCACCCACACTGAGGTGTTCGAACCCAGACCTGGTTACAAGGCTAGCTTGTAGACCATTAAGCCACTGAGTGGGTGCGATATGATATACTCTCAAGTAATTTTTTTCAATACAATGTAATAATAATAATAATAATCTACTGTATTCCAAAAACAGTACTTATAATACAGAATGGAAGTCAGCATTTGTTACAATATATTGCATTTGATTTACTTAAATTATAAATAAAGTTAAAACAAAATTAACCAGAGGAATTTGTCCACATTTACGATATAAAGTCAAAAATATTCCAAGTACGAATTGAGAATATTAAATATTGTCATAATAATAACAGTGAGTTTGTTTCATACAGTATTGTCGATTCAGTTTGGAAATTTTAGCATGTTATATATAGAGTATTGAATCTAATGTTCTGTTGATATAGCAGCATGGTGAGGGGAAATACAAAATTAACACAGCTTGAATAATGTTCACACTTATGAAAAAAATGAACAAAAACGAAAAATTGAGAGGATTATAAATATAAGAAATACAATAACAATAAAGTTTGATACTGTAAGGGTGGAAGAAATTGTTTATTTATTAGTAGATGGTTAGTTCATGCCTGACACTATTTTCATCACATAAAGTACATGCTAAATAAGGTATGTAAGCATTGAACAGAGAATAGTCTTAATGTGTACACATCCCCCAGCATAGGTAGATAGGATGGATCAAAGATTAGTTTTATATATGTCAATATTTACACTAGACAAAGTTTACAGTATTTTGTGATAATTCAAAGTACATTCGATCAGTTTAAAGTGTGTGTGTGAGAGAGAGAGAGAGAGTAGATTAAAGTTTCTTAGCACATAGTACTCTAGAAAGTAGGCTTATAGACAGAGGAAAGAACTAATGTTTATCATCTGCAGTTTCATATATTGTCTCTCTCTCAACCGATTTATTTATTTTTTTAAAATACTTTTTGTGATGTTGGTGAATCTCATTTCGCAAAACCCAATCGTCATTGAACTAAATATTTCATCCATTTCTCTGATATCATCATCATGAGCTGACATCAGTTAGAGAACCGTTGGAAAACTACCTTAGAGTACTGGACAACCAACTGTTTCATCAGGCTAGTTCGGGACTCTTCATCAGTACGCAGCCATCATTAGGGTTCGAAGAGTCCCAAACTAGCCTGACGAAACCGCTGGTTGTCCAGTACACTCCCAGGTAGTTTTCCAGTGGTTCTCTAACTGATATCAACTCATGATGAATTCCTCCATCCAATTGAAATAATAATCCGCACAAAATCAATACTTTAACATTCTCTGATAGTTTTATCGAGATGTTGATTCGCAAACTCGATACTGGATCATTTCAAAGATTATTAGATCTCACAGTAAACATATTACTATGTAGTCGACAAACAGTATTCATTACTCCAACAAATCTACATTACATCATAGTATTAGTTTATAGTATCAGACCATAGTATTGTTGTAATGACAGAAGACAAGGGCCAGGCAACAGATGGTTTACTGAGGAAATCAACAGATATTTATGTATTTTTATGTACATTATTATTAGCAGAGAAACAGTGTTTTCTGATTGGTTGTATTCCTGCTGAAGGTTATTTTGTCATCTCTTTGTGGCCGTTTCTTTGAAGATCAAACAATACATCTGCTAATCATATCCGCCCACGCTAAGTCTGCTGTGACTGGTTGTTGAGTTCCTCAAGGTTAGGCTTTGTTCTTGTTTGTTTTTCTCACGAGGTAGATTTGGGACGTAAATCGCTGTCTACCAATTTGGGTTAGCAGACAGCTCTCATCACACTGTCTCTTATATGTTTCTTACCCACTTATATATCAAATTCTTTATCACCTTGATCCTTATTTTTTGTTATTGATCGAATTCACAGTATGATTTGTTGTACTTTCTTTACAGTAGTAATTAATTTAGTCATGAACTTTGTCAATTTTGTTTCCGATGCGTATAACTTATTAGTGTGTAAATGTGAATACTTATTTTATATACTGGCTTTACTATTGAACTGTATTTAGTTATTTCCATTTGATAATGAAATCTTCAACTATAGAGTGATGACTGACTGGTTTCGGCATAGGCAGAAATGTGAGGGAGTCTATACCTTGCTACGTGGCTGGCTGGCTGGCTGGCTTAAACTAATTGTTATGGGTTTGATTGACTGATGAAGCCATATTTTCGTTTGACCACCACTGGCTCTTTTCCAACTTGATCCTAAGTCAGCAGCTAACATTGCCCATCGTCAAGGAAGGCGATAGCTAGACATGCATGCGTAAGACATGTCTTGACTGTCTCACTCAATCGATGTAACTGCTTCACAACCTCATGGATTGATTTTCCCTCCTTACCTAGCACTCGACTGAAGCCTAACCTGTCACTATAACTCGCTTTATTACGCCTACAACCTAACACACGTGGGAGATAGATGGCAGACAGCTAGTATCAAAGACAGCTAGCCAGCCTTTCCATGTCTTCGACTTTCATTGGCGATGTCTCACTGAGAGTGATAAAGGAGGACGGAGGGAACTGATTCTGAGCAGTACACACGTTGTTTGGTCTATAGCCAGGAGGATATCAAGTCTACTAAAGGAGAGATGGCGTGGGTTGGTATATGCCAAACGAGACTTCTGTACCCGCTGTGAGATTTCTTGATCGATCGACCCATTGGGGCTTGCTGATGGGACTTCCCACAAAGTAAATGAAGTGGCCAACGCATCCTATAGAATAGTACGCATTATGAAATTAGTATATATGTGAAAGATTTAGGGCACACGGAATTCAATGAATTCAAATCACTCTATATCATTTGTCGCTCTTAATTTACAAGAAAGAGAATTGAAGGCGTTGTAATTCTCTCACATTACTTTCTACTCAGATGAGGACTGTTAGTTGTGATAATGAGAAGCGAATTTCAGTTTCTATTGATTGGTCAGGTATATAAGCAGTTCAGCTTACTTGAAGATGTTACACTCACATTTTCAATGATCAGTGATCTCAGATCCATCCCGACTTGTAGAGCAGGAGCTACTTTAGTAGCTCTGTGTTGACGTGATATCCTGTCTGTCTGTCTGTTTTCGACATAGAACTTTGCACAAATGTGCGGAAGTTCAAGTCGCCACACTCTATGTAGCACGCGAAGCAAGAGAAGAAAGTAACAAGAAAAGCATAATAGAAACAGTGAGCAGAGGTGTGAGACAAAGGAGTAATAAAGAAAAACAAAACAGTTTCATTGGAGATCATAAGTCACAAGGAGTGGATGCATCTGCGCCGGCCACTGAGAACGATTTTGAGCCATGTCACCAATTGTTTCCAACCATAGATTTTTACCGTCCCGAGGACCCCAGCCTAGAAGTCTACACCTTTCTACGTGGCTTGGACCAACTGTTATGGATTTCATTGACTGGTGAGGCCAAGTTTTTGTTTGACCGCCGCTAGCTTTTTTCCAGCCTGACCCTATATCCGCTAACATTGCTCGTCGAGGGAGGCGATGGCTTGGCATACGTAACACATGTCCTAACCATCTCAGTCTTTGTAGCTTCACGACTTCGTCGATTGATTTCCCCTGTTTACCTAGAACTCGACGCCTAACCTCAATGTTACTCACCTTATTATGCCACTTTACACGGGAAATAGAACGCAGGCACCTATGATCAAAGACAGCCAGCTAGTCTTTTCATGTCTTCCACTCTAAGTGGCCAGGTCTCACAACCATAAAGGAGGACGGAGCGGACTGATGAGCAGTACACCCGCCCTTTGGTCGATAGTCGAACATCTCGTCTACGCCAGAGTCGGCGTAAACTGCCAAGTGCGAAACGAGCCCCTTGTATTCGTGCTGAGATTTCGTCAGAGATCAACCCGTTGGGGCTGATGGTACTTCCCAAATAAGTGAAGCGGTCAACGTGCTCTACCACTTCACTTCCTATTTTTAAACTAGGCGTTGATATAGTCCAGTCCTGTAACATCATCTTGCATTTGGCGGGAGCGAATCGCATGCCAAACATTCGTAGATTGCGGCTCAAGGTGTTTATCCTGTATCAGAACAAGACATATAAGCGAACAACATTAATCACAATTAGATCTTCAGGTTTTACTCTAATTTACATAGATTTGTACATAAAAATTTTAACCAATGATGGTGGTTTTGTGGATTAAATAATCATGATAGTAATAGTAACGTGGTAAATGTTTTGAACATAGTTAATAACGATGATTATAATGATAACAAAATATTGATAATAAGGTTTATGCAGGTGGTGATAAGAGTAACAAAGGTAGTAATGTGTATGTGTATATGTAGACAATTCAATAAATAAATTGTGTCAAATCTTAAAAGCTACGTAGTACTAAAGTGGAAGTGGATAGATAATGAGAGTTCAAAGAGGTAAATATCTTTAAAGTACGAAAGAGAGGGAAAATAAGAAAGGGTGGGAGGGTTAGTGAATAGAATTCACCTAGGCAAAGGAAGAGAGAGACAAAGGTAGAACAAACGTCTTTTGTATGCAAAGACTAGGACTGTTCTCTCGAATTCCCATAGCTTTTATTTGACCTTTTCCGAACCATGAAGTACGATGCTCATTAATGCGTTTGTTAAGCTGTCTAGTTGTTCGCCCCATATAGCCAGCTCTCTCCACAGAAGCAACTAAATTTATAGATACACATAGAAGTGTCACAGCTAGGTAACTTGTCTTTCACTTGATCAATCATAATTGGTTGGGTGGAAAATGAAAAACAAAGGGTGGTGGCGGCAGTATAAGTCCGTTTTATCGCTCTCGATAATCTCTCATGTAAGACTTCGCTAGCCACGTCCCCATTAAATTGCAATTTCATGAATAGTTGTTTCTTTTTAACTGTTGTCAGTTTTTCTTCATTGTACCTGGTGTTCATGTGTCCCCTTACAAATTTACTAGGATAACCCATTTAGGCCAGCGTATTTTAGATGTATCCTAACTCATTTTCATCTGTACAGACCCGTCTTGCTCTATTCGTGAGGCATCTGACCAAACTGATTTTGTATCGGATTGGTACAAAACTGAGGAAATGTGTATAGTGTCCTACAGATGTAGGTTTTCTATAGGCACTTCTCTTGAGTGAACCATCCATTATTGGCGAGTCAAACCAGTATGGAGCTACACAGCTATATGCGGTCCTTTGTTTAACCAAGATATATGCTTTTCGCAAAGTTGACGACACAGCTGCCTAATCGTACACTTAGTATAACTAGCTGTCCAAAGATAATCAAACTGGCAAATACACACTGACGAGGTGAAATGGAGCAGTTTGGCTTTATTTTGCGAGCTAAGTATTGATTAACTGGTAAACAAATAACCTAAACCAGCTGCGTTGAAAGTCTTTCCTAAGGCTCCTCTCACACTTCCTACTACAAACACACTGGAGACGCCTCCTGTAAACTTCAGTCTTAATAACACTGTTAATACATGTCTACAACTTGGACACTGTGATAGTAAGTAATTCCATATTAGTTTATTTATTAGATGTATCACATAGTCAGTGAAACAGTATTATTTACTGGATGACAAGGTTTCGAACAAAATTTATCGTTCATAATCATATCAATTATAGTCACACGACTTTGAGACTTCAGTTTTATAGTTTTCTTTGTTCTCTCCTATTTGAAACTTAATAATTAATTTGCTAAACTAGTCAGAAAATATGTGGGGAAATGTAAAAATAAAATAATGGTGGTAGTGATAATAATAATAGTAATATTAAGGACGACATGCATGTCAAACATGCAGGATAATGACAACACCAACAATAAGGAATCTAAATCATCAGTAGTAATTCCATGCAAAGAAGGAACCTCGGAAACCTTATGGAGAATTCTTAACAAGGCGAGCTCGTAGACCATTGAGCCACTGGGACCCGATCCAATGGTCCTTGAATTCTACAGCAGGTCGAAGATGAGGCAGTAACTCATCGGAGAAGACATTGCGAAGTGGTCGCGCTATATCATGAACTGGCAGAAGTTAGAATTCAAGGACCATTGGATCGGGTCCCAGTGGCTCAATGGTCTACGAGCTCGCCTTGTAACCAGAAGGTCCTGGGTTCGAATCCCGGTGGGTGCGTACTGCTGAGGAGTCCCAAACTAGGACGAAACAGCTGTCCAGTACTCCCAGGTTTTCCAGTGGTTCTCTAACTGATGTCAGCTCATGATTAAATCCTCCATACAATCAAACAAAATCCCTACAAAAACCAATACTTGAAAATTCTTAACAAGGCAGGCAGGAATAAAAGTGGCATTTAAACCAACAAACTCAATTAGAAATAAGCTTTGTCGGTTAAAGTATCAATCCTGTGTAGCCAATTAAATAAAACAATTTAGTTTATCTAATACGCCGCCTGCAATGACTGTCAGGTCAAAGCAGTAGAACAGGGGTAGTCAGACTAGCCGAGCATAAAATCCTATAAGTTACAAAAAGGGATTAGTCAGAACACTATTTGATCGTGTGAGGAAACTGTGTTCAAAAGAAAAGATTGAAGAAGAGCTACCCATTGTGGAGAAATGCCTACGCAACAACGGTTACCCACAAAAGTTCATCGACATGAATGGGAGACCTTATATTAAAAAAGTGAAAAGCAGCACAGTAGATAAAAAGTCTATCTTTCGTACTGGTCGAGAATTTAATAGTCCTGACGCAAGAAAGACTGAAATCAGAAGACCACTAGGTTTGCGATGATACTTCTATTTTCCAAACACAAGGAGAATCAAATGTTTCACACAAGAGTGTGAGAGCAAAATATATATGAATGTCCAAACAAGTGTGTGAACAAATCAATAGACAGTCTTAACATGATTGGCTAATTATAATGGAGTATCGATCCATATATAATAGCAAAATATATCAGACTGTCAACAAACACAATATTATATATAATATAAGGGAATATACATTGTTAAAGGAGACAAGTTCATCAAAGTGAAATGGTCACAGACTAAGAGAGCAACAGAAAGAGAGACCACCACACATATATATATATGCAGCTTGCATTCAAAGGTGATGGTACTGCTAGTAGAATAAGATGCAGACTGAACGCTGCACTGAAAAGAACATATCCAGCCGCTTGTATGTGTTTATCAAACAACTAGTTGTTTGAAACAATCAAAAGTGAACAAATACCCACCTCATGTTACCGCCAACTGTGTCTACCAATTTACATGTACGTGCCAAAGCACATACATTGGAAGAACAGAGAGAAGGGTTAGTGTCCGCATCTATGAACACATACCAAGGAACTTGAGACTGAAAGGTCCGCAAGCATTAAACAGTGCTATTACTCGTCATCTATTGGACACTGGTCATATTGTAGACAACCTGAAGTCGTTCAAAATAATCAACAAACAAAAGAAACCGAGCTTGCTACGCTTTGCTGAAGCGACTGCTATCAAACGACTTAAACCAAATCTATGTACGCAGAAAGAGACAGTGGTGAATCTCACACTGCCCTGGTGATAACAAAAATATATATATACAACTTTCACGAGTCACCCTTTTTCATGTTAAGAAAACTCTACTCTCTCATCTAAACATGAATCACCCTACCCTGTTTCTTTCCTTTCCTTTTTCTATTGGCTATTAGATAAGATGTTTTCTTTAGTTACGTAATCTACTTTTTGTTATGCTCTTCCTAGCTAAACCTTGTTTCTATACACATACATATATACACAACCCTGTTTTTTTGTTTCTGAGCCTAATTGTCTAATTATTCTATAAATAGTCAGTGTTTGTAACTCCTAATCAGTTAAATCATTCCGGACTAATGTTACTTTTACTTCCTCCTTGTGATCATGGAAAAGTATGTTCAAATATTTAATGTAATTCGTATTTTTTAACGTTCAGGTTGTAATCGGTTGAGAAGAATCCTTGAAATAATACTGGAGATGAGCTCATATTATCGTGGTACATACAATTGTTGTTTTTGCTTTGTTCAAATCCAGATTAGTTGATCCGAATAAGATAAGAAATCTAGAGAACAGTTCAGCCGTAGATAGCACTCACTGCATGCAATTGCACACAACCATACAACAGGATGCGTGGGATAAGATGGCAGTTTTAAAATCTAATGTAACAGGGTGGAATGAAGGAGAGATTGATAACAACGGAAGCTTTGTTTATCGAATCAACTGCAAATACGTGTAACAGGAATGATTCAACACCTGTCTAGTCGGACATCTTGAAAATTCAAATACCCGAACGACAACAAATAGGAGAAGACAAAGAAAACTATAAAACTGATGTTTCGAAGTCGTATGATTATAATTGATGATATCATTATGAACAATAATCAGCGGTATTCGAAACCTTGTCATACAGTTAATAATACTGTTTCACTGTATGTTACATCAAATTAACAAACTAATATGGAATTAATAACACTTTTTTATCCTGGAACTGTAAGTACCCTGAATTTGATGCTTGCTAAATCCATGTACTTTTTTTTTAAAGAAACTCACCACTTGATTGGTAAATTGTTGTATATTGTAATTAAAATGCTATATATATTAGAGTAGAGCCAGAGATGAGGATCTAATTGAAAAGTAAATATTTCTTCGCTCAATCTTTCTCTTTTCTAAATGTCTAAATGGGGATATTTTCTATATTGAAATCTTCGGAGCAACAGTTTGCGTTAAAGGTGCTCAATGAGTATCTGAAGTACAGCGCAAGGCTCAGTGAAGCGAGAATTTCTTTGGACTTCATCCTCGAATGCATTGAGAGAAACCAGTATCCAAAGTCCTATTGGAAGTCTTTACGACGTTGCAGAGTTCGCCCGAATAGTAAGACACTCAAGCGTCACGCATTGAATCAGATCGACTCACTCAAATCATGTATCACGGAATTATCAAAGAATGTAACAGAAAGGTTTTATGCTGTAGACGAGCTCCCAGAGCACTTGAAGAAACAGTTCCTGGATTATGTGAATGAGGTTTCTGGCAAAAGAAGGGAAAAGAAACGTGTCAAATTATTACAAAGCCTGGAAAGCAAAACTCCAGAAATGCGATTTCCGCCAAACCCTGGTCGGTATGTTTATAATTTTTCTGATATTGTTCTTGATGACACTGATTTGCAAGTATTATCCCTAGGCACTAAGTTTTGTGATAATCACGTTAGAATTAATAAGATGGATATGCAAGTCCAGTTTGAAAACTTTTATGCACAAACTGAAGGATTGACACCCTCGTCAGCTGAGGCAGTTGAAAGTCTCAAATCAACTCTCGTCGACTGTTGTTATAAATATATAAATAGTAAACGGAGACAGAATAGCTTATTGACCAAGAAACACAGGGAAGCCCTAGATAAGCTCCGAAATAATGAGAATATAATAATTTCGAAACCCGATAAAGGCTCTGGAGTAGTAATAATGAATAAGACTGAATACATAGATAAGATGAATGGAATACTCAGTGATCATCGAAAATTTCAAAAAATCACGTCTTCCGTCGATCCAACAGAAAAAGTAGAGAAACAGCTAATCGAGTCACTAAAAAGACTTAAACAACAAAGTAGCATCATAGAAGGTTTATATGAATCTCTAAAGCCTACTGGCACGATTACACCAAGATTATATGGACTTCCAAAAGTGCACAAAATTGGTTTACCACTTCGACCAGTGTTAGATATGTGTAATTCCCCATACCATGCCACAGCAAAATGGTTAGTCAAGCTCCTGAAACCTCTGCATAATGAGTTGGTAAAACATAGCGTAAATGGCAGTTTTGAATTTGTTGGAAAAATAAGAGATCTTAATGTGAAGGACAAGTTTATGATATCTTTTGATGTATCCTCCTTGTTCACCAACGTACCGTTAATGGAGACAGTGGATTTTATATGTGAGGAGATTACTACACGAAACATAGACATCGGCATTTCTGTATCCACCTTGAAGGAACTTATTTTAAGATGTACAATGAACGTTCATTTCTTATTCAATAAGGAATATTACAGACAAATTGATGGTGTAGCTATGGGTTCCCCATTAGGCCCAATCCTAGCTGATTTTTTCCTCGCTAAGTTAGAGAATGGACCACTGAAAGGAGTAATTAGTGACTTGGATTTCTACTGTCGATATATGGATGATACATTTCTGGTCATAAAAAACGAG